TCTTTCGGTCTATACATCGTTCATCTTAGTATTTGCTTATATATAAGAAAAATGTGCCCTGAAGATGACAATTTGAAATTGTCGAAAGTGCTTGGCATGTGTTTTCCATCTGACAACAACTCGAATATAAGGATCTTATTATTCAGGGAATTGATAGTAAGTTAATGTCTCTGTTAGCGAAGTGATTTCGCCATTAATCATATTGCTATTTTATTCTTTGTATAAATTGAAATTCGTTCGTGAGCATCAGAATAAGGAAAAATCGTATTGAAAAGAATATTTTGGACAGACGAAAGCAAAATTGAGTTGTTTGGACGTAATTCTAGAAATCGTGTATGGAGGAAAGATGGCGATGCCTTAAAAAAAAAACGGAGAAATTTGGTGGTGGCAACATCATAGTTTGGGGATGTTTTTCTGCAAAAGGTACTGGCAACATATGGTAGATTGAATGCCTCAGCATATCAAAATATTCTAGAAGCAAATTTAATGATTTCGGTTGAAAATCTTGAACTTTCCCCTGATTGGATCTTCCAACAAGATAATGATCCTAAGCACAAAGTTCAAAAACCAGCTACAGACGAGTTTATATAGTCTGGTAAATGTGTTAGCCACCGCTCGGGTACTTCAAGGTGCCTCTGTTTCTTATTAGGTTGGTGCCAAAAATAATGTCGTTTTTGACGTTCAACTTAACGTCAAAAAACGACATTATTTTTGCACCAACCTAATAGTTACTATATTAAAAACAAATAAAAATTTCGTCTGAAAATGAAACGTTTTTCGCAATATTATTGGCAGGGAAGGGTTTAACGGCGCATCAACTTCTTATGGGTCATCTGATGCTTGAATCTAATTTTCTTGGGAGCTTTGGTAAATTTTTTACTATTAAAATCTATTACTAGAATTTTTCTATTAAAATCTATTGATGGACATTTTTACTATAAAATTGTATTTTTTAATACTTTCATTGTGTTTTGATCCCAGTTTGTGGGTTCATTATTTGCCTATAGTTAGGACCCAAACAGGTGCTACCACCCAGGTCAGGGTGAACCGGAGAACAACAGCAATTAAGAGATGGTTTCCACGCTCTTCAAACCCACTTGTTATAAAATAAAATAAGACATATCTCGGCTGATTAACAGGCAAATAAACTAACATACTCAAGAGCGAGAGCCGGATGTGAAAGGGACAAAATGACCATTATCTTCGTTTACGCATGTTCCCGACGTACGGGTTCCGGTCGAAAAATAAAATAATATTTTAAAGTGGTTTTATTTTTCGTCCAATAAAAATGTTTCCCCCCTAATCGTTTTTCGAGCCCGTTAAGCCATAAAAAACGCCATAAAAGTGGTCAAACGGAAGTACAACAGGCAGTCAACAGGAGGCCAGGGAAGAGACCTGTCACGGTCAGGCTGAGCGGTCAGCAGCAGTCAGCAGGGGGAGCGCCAGCGCCAACCAGTGTGAACTACTATGAGAGATCAACCCAGATCGAAAACCGGCTTATGAATTATACCACAAGGTAGCTGTCCCAAACCCACACGTTCCTTTTGAAATAAATTACGTGAATCTATTTCTGCTGTTGTTGTATTTCTTTCTTGCAACCATACGCTTGTCTATAACCCACTCGATCAGAGGCCTTGCTACCGGATGTAGTTTATCGTCATACCTAGTACGAACACAGCAAATGAGTAACAGGATAGTTTAACAACCATAGCGAATTTGATCCTCACTGAGTGCATTAGAATACTAGCATAGTGCCCATAAAAATTAGAGGAGTATTTATTTATGGATCAGTACTCTGATTAGCCTGCATACGGATAGGAAGCGTACACTCCAGAAAAAAGGGGGGCAAGACAAGGGTGCTTTTTCTCATCAGATTCTTACTAGGAGCGTCATGCTCGTAGCCTTGTGCCAAGTTACACTTAAAAAATATACACAAAATTATATATGAGCTACTAGGGAAAAGCTAGTTGAAATATTCTTTGTATTTATCCCCAACTCATATCCCAAAAAAGTCTGAGCACTTCGTCTGAGTAGTGAGTTCGATCCTCACTAGGAATTGGCCTTGTGCCGCCATTAAAGATACGCTTAAGAAAAATCACCATATCCCAGCCCAAAGTCTGTTTTGTTTGACTTCTGATTAAAATATTTTTATCGCTGTCTGAGCTGAATTTTAATTACTCCGAGGCACTGCTAAAAAGCGCTTAAATCACTTCTAAAAATCTGACCAAATCTCAAAGAAAAAGGAAAAGAAAAAAGGAAAACAAAACAATAGAAAAAAGAGAAATAGAAAGAAAGAAAAGAAAAAATAAATAAATAAAAGAAAGATAAGAAAAAAGAAAGAAAAGAAAAAGGTTTGTCTTGTTTTGTTTTACGGTATGTAAACCTCAATGGGTTATTTAATGTCAACAAGATTTTTATTGATAGTAATATTTTTTCCTAAAACTATATTGCTGGTAATATTTTTTCTCCAAAAATGTATTTCTGGTAATATTTTTTTTTTCCCAAAAGTGTATTTCTGATAATATTGTTTTAAAAAATGTATTTCTGGTAATATATATTTTTTTTTTTACCAAAAATGTATTGCTGGTAATAGTTTTTGTTACCAAAAAATGTATTGCTGGTAATATTGTTTTCCAAAAATGTATTGCTCATAATATTTTTTTCTAAACAATGGGTATATATTTTTTTTTCCAAAAATGTATTGCTGGTATTAAAATATATTTTTACACTTTCATAGTGCTTTGATCCTTTTTGTGGGGTTAACTATTTGCTCATAGCTGAGACACTGGCAGGTGCTACCACCCAGGGTCAGGGTGGATATGAGAACACCGGTAATTAAGACGTGGTTTAACGCTCCGCAAAACCTCCGGAGGAAAGATCTTGCTGTTGGATGTAGTTTATCGTCTTACCCAGGGCGGAAAAAAAGAAAAGAAGAAAAAGAATAGAAAAGAAGAAAAAGAAGAAAAATAGAAAAGAAAAAAGAAAAGAAAAAAATCTTTGGTTGCGATGAGAACTTTTTTGTACTTCGCTTTTTTTTTAGTGTTGTTAAATAAATGAAAAAAAAAGGTCGCAAGTTTTCAGTAGATACGGAAGAGACGGTAAATTTACAAGTGGTCAGTGAAAAGTCCTGGACAGACCAGTGTTTCAAGATAGTGATTTTAGGAACGAAATCAACCCGAAGACTTCATTACCTCGTCTTATAATTCCTTGGAAAATTCACATATCATTCTTTAAGCAAACATTTCAAAAGAAACGAAATTGAGGCTTGCCAATACAATTACAAGGGAGATAACTCGCATATTTTATAAGAGTTATCTCTCATTAGCCAGATTACTTTTTTTTCGTATTTTTTTCTTTTCAGGATAAAATAGAATTGGCTTCAGGGTGAAGATCATCCCCATTAAAACGAAACAAAAACAAAGATAACAAAAACAAAAACAAAACAAAAAACAAACAGAAACAAAAGAAATAAAGATATTTCCTTCGATTCATGAAGTAAGCATTGGCAAGGAAGGAGATTATATTAAAAAATAAATATTTATTGTATATAAAATCACTGGCTTAGAAAAACGAGTTCCTTGAGAATTGATTAAAAAAATGTCTTTCATCATTACGCTACAGAATTATTTTTGTACCTCCATGTGTATAGGTCTATCTCTCATATATAAGACAAATATTAAAAAAAAACAATAGACATTTTGTGTCGATTAATTTTAATAATCGACTTTTTCCAAAAATCCGAATATATATATATATATATATATAATATAATATATAATATAATATATATATATATATATATATATATATATATATATATATATATATATATATATATATATATATATATATATATAAAGATATATATATATAATATATATATATATATATATATATAAAATATATATATATATAAAATAATATATATAATATATATATAAATATAAATAAGAATATATATAAAAAAAATATATATATATATAAAAATAATATATATATATATAAAAAAATATATAAATATATATATATTATAAATATATATATATATATATATATAAAATATATATATATAAAGAAAATAAAAAATATATATATATATATATATATATATATATATATATATATATATATAAATATATAAAATGAATAAAATCGTTAATATATTTTCTGTTTACGTTATTTTTACATACATAATTTATTTAAATAAATTTGTTTTAATTAAATAGTATTAATTACATTTAGAAACCTGAATAGTCGAGAAATTTAATAATAATAATAATAATAATAAATGTCAGACTTCATCCATTTCATTATATGTTGCCACAGTTTATATTAAGATATGTTTCGTGAGCAGATATGATCGAGCGAGAAAAATCGTCGAAGATTGTGTGTTTATAAACAGTAATTTGAATTTTGCTAACCAGGCGCTTCAATGTAGCTAAATGGTATAGCGCGTCAGATCAAATGATTGCTTCCGTATAGGAATAAAGATTTGATTCCTGTCGGAGAACGCATAACGCGAACAGGGAAATCGTCTCATCCTTACTGCTACGGCATCATCTTGGAAGTGTCTTCTCAAGAAAATTGACTCTTCCAGACACCATAGCTCGGGACCCAGGGTTGGTCATTGGGGATCTGGGTATAGCAATGTAGGACTGAACAGTGTGAAAAAGGATTGTCAATGAAATTCCGACCAACCATAGGGAGGTCGAAGGAGGATGATGAAGGAAAGATTAAACAAATGAGCTAAAACTAAAAGCCATGCCCTAACGATTGCTTATAGAATATCTCAGGGAATACTATAAGATTATAAAGGAATACATTATCAATTATTTTACTGTAGAAAGGCTTGTCAAATAGAATTATTATGTGAATTAATTCAAAATTATTCTAGAGGGATGGGAAGGCGTAGGAGAGAAAGAGGCGAAGTTAGAAGAGAGAAAGAGCCAGAGTAAGAAGAAGAGAGAAAGAAGCAAGATAACAAAGAGAGAGGAAAGAGATCAGAAAGAGAGAGAGAGAGAGAAAGAAAGAAGAGAACACAAAGAGAGAGAGAGAGAAAGAGTTTTTAAAATAGAAAAGGAAAGAAGAGAAAAGATAGAGAGAGAGAGAGAGAGAGAGAGAGAGAGAGAGAGAGAACAGAAATAGGGAGAGAGAAACGAGAAAATAGTAAGAGATAGATGCGAGACTAGAGAATAGAAAAAAAGAAAGACGAGAGAAATGAAAGAGAGAAAAACTAGGGAATAGAGAGAGAGAGAGAGAGAGAGAGAGAGAATAGAAAGAGAGAGATGCTAGACTAGAGAATAGAAAAACAGAGAGATTAGAGAATAGAGAGAGAGAGAGAGAGAGAGAGGGACGACGAGAAAACAGAAAGAGATAGACTAGAGAATAGAAAGTGAAAGAGAGAGACTAAAGAATAGAAAAAGAGGGACTATGGAATAGAAAGAGAGAGACGTGAAAACAGAAAGAGAGGGAGAGACGGACGAGAGAATAGAAAGAGATAGACGAGAAAATTGTAGAGACGACGTTCGATAGAATGGAGATTGAGTTGAGACGCTAAACGTTAGAGAACTGAGAGAGAGAGAGAAAGAAAGTTTGGTCGTTGGAAAAAGACGAAGAGCAAAAAAAAGAAAAAAAGAAAAGTAATATAAAAAGAACAAAAAGCCCAAAAGCAAAAACAAAACCAGAGAGACGATTGGATAAAAAGAAAAAAAAAAGAAAAGAAAACGAAATATGAAAACGAGGTCATCACATAATTTTTAAGCTTTTAATGTCACATAATCCCCGCGCCATATGTTACTTTAAATGCAAATGTATTAAATTGCAAATAAAAAATCATGTTATTTTTGATAAAGGAATAACATTTCTTTACAAGGTACATTTTCTTTTTTTTTTTTTTGGTAATATCTTATGAAAAGTTTTCTTAAAATTGCCCAGAAGGCGACAAACTAGTGAGAAAACATCACCTTTACACGCGTTACCACCCGACAGCAGAAAAGTAATTCTTGCTAGCTACCCTAATTTCACTAAAGTTTATTTTTGCGTTTACAAGAGAACAACCATTTATTGGTTCGTATAATAATTAAAAATAAGAATTAAAAAAAAAAAGAAAATATTAAAAAAAACAATTCTCATTTTGGAAAGACTATTATTAATAGTCTTTAAATCTGTCTTGATCAGAAGGGCATTTTTTTCCATTTCACTGAAACAGACGTTAAATATTTCTGTCTTCTCTTCTTTCTTTTATTTTTTCACTGAAAACAACTGGCGTCTCTGCCATGTCTTTTCAGGCTTTCCACGGGATTGCAACGGACTGATTCATTACTTTTTAGGTACTGACAGGGCGTAACGTACGTACGCGTAAACCAAGTAACTACCAATCGCTAACACAAGCCCACTCTCATTAACAAGACTCCTACCATAGACTAGCTTTCAAAAATACATAAGCGCTCTGAAGACAAGTACTTAGTTTTGAAAAGCCGTTAAGGATTTTTTGCACTAATCTATTCAATGGTAAACTTGTCAAATATAATCTATTCCATATATTAAGACAATTATTTATATATATGACATATATATATAACAAAATATAATTGGTATATGATTTTTAACCAAAAACTATTAAAAGACAGTATTGCAGCCGTTATTTTATAAAAAATTTGTGTGTGTCTGTATGGTTATTTATAATTTTGTTATATATATATACTGTGTCTTAAGCAGATATTCCAATTTTATTTTGAAAAGAAGAATTTTTTATTTTCTAGTAAGTACAAAATTCAAAAAGTTTGAAAATGTTTAAAATGCTATTATTATCATCAGATCTTTAAATAAAATATAACAAAATAATTTTTTACTAACTACAAATTGAGAATTTGTATATATTAAATTTAATATTTTATATATATATGTATTTTAATATCCTCTCTTTATGTGTATATCAGGATAAGAAAAGCTCCATATTTGATTTTGTTTAGTCATGATTCATTTCTTCCATCTGTTACATTTCAAATTTTTCAAGTTGAGGTTTCTTATTTTTGTATATATATATATATGTATATAATAATTATATCACCATATGTCCCAAAAATATATATATATATATCTATATATATATATATATGTTTAATCTGAATATCTGATTCATCTTCAAGAAGCGAGAGCAACATCTAAAAGGTCAAAATCCTCATTCCACCAGAAAAAACCTCCTTTCTCATTAATGTAACGGGACTGAAGTGCCTCTTAAGATTTTTATCAAACTAATCACATCAGATCTTCAACATCATATATATAATTTATTATATATATATATATATATATATATATATATATATATAACTTTTTCAAACTTTTCTAAAGGCCATAGCTCAACATATACCAATTTGGAATGGTATTTGGAGGCCGATTTCGTGAGCAAATTAAAACAATCCGAATGGGTCCGGACCTACACTCTTGAAATTTTCGATTCCCAAGTTTTTATTACTGCGATTGTTTTCGGATCCCGCCATCTTGGCTTCTACTGATAAAACAATTAAAGGGACATAACTCTCTAAGTTTCGATAGCTCATGTTCAAATGAAAAAAATACTGTTCTCAAATTGCAGTGTTTCAAAATAAAATTGTCGGTGTTTTCAACTTTACTCCTAGAGGCCGTAGCCCAACATATATCATTTTGGAATCAGGCCAAGTCTGTGAGCAAAGTTTAAATCATTCCGGGTCGGATCCAGACCTACAATCCTGAAATTTTAGATTCCCAAGTTTTTCTTACCGCAATTGTTTTCGTCGTTTTTTTTTACGTGAATTTTTGCGACGATTTCTTTTTTTTTTTTTTTTTTTTTTTTTTGTACGATGACAATTTTTATAACCAGGAAATAAACTTGGGAATAATGGAAATTAATTGCGAAACCCAGCGAAAGTCACCCATGACATAAAAAATAATTGTTTGTACGGAAATTAAGGATCTACTTACATTAAATTGTTTTCAAATTAAGCGGCGACAGAAGAATTATCGTTGAACTTTTAAAAGGTAAGCTTAAATATTAATGCGATTCTTAAATGCAGGAATCAATTTTGAGTTCTTCAGCAGTTTATTGTTGCCTATCAGATCCGGCAGCAGTATGCCTCGCAAAAAGAAATGTCCACCAATAGAGGAACAGATTGCAATCAATAGAGGCAAGGCCGGAGTGAAGAAAAGAAAGTCCCGTGTAAATGAAAACCTAGATCAAACGGCAGCCAGGAGAGCTTCCAATGCTGAGAATATTCAAAGACTTAGGGACTCTCAAACTCCTGAACAAGCCGAAGGCCCAATCAAGAGCCCTCCGCAGGAGCTAGTTTAAATGCTGACCGATAAAGCGGCTTTTAAGCTAGCTTTGATGATGCAAAGTAACTCTTTTCTTTCGAGGCAATGAATGTAACCAGCCAGTTTTCAATACTAGCTAAGACAGACAAGAGATTAGCTGCCAATCTCTGGCCATCTAGAGCAGGGGGTCGGCGACCTAGGGCACGGGTGCTACACGCGGCACGCCAAGCAATTTCCAGTGGCACGCAGCCGTAAATGACATTACGAAGTCCGAACCAATAACAACTACAACGCAAAGATATTTAGCTGTTTCAATTTTAATATATACTAAAGTATATATTAAGAAATGGACAAAGTCCGACAATTTATTTATTAAAGACACTTTTATGTTTAACGTTCTTTTTTATAGATACAAGTATTTGGCAAAATGCTCTGTTTATAATAAACTAGTGCAGAGCCCGGCGTTGCCCGGGGATGTAACAGTAAGAGATAGATCAAGTATCGACCATCATAAAGACTGAAAAATAAAATTGACAAAGATTATTGTTTAAGGTTGACGGACACGCATGTCTTAATTTTTTTTTTTTTTTTACGAATTGGTCAAACCCAAACTCAAACAAAAACATTGTTTTCAATCGTTATGAGTCTACCGATTAAATAGAATTTTATTATAAACAATTGTCTTGTAAATGGATTTTTAAAGCATTCTGAATGTAAAAAATAAAGAAAAATGTGTGCAAGACAATAAGAAACACTACCCGCCAAAAAAAAAAAAGAAGTTTTGTTGAAATTGGTTGAAAAATGTAGGAAACTGATCCATATAAACGAACACACACACACACAAACAACCTGGGTTTTATAATAAGTATAACTCGATATGAGTTGTCCTTTCATTCTCGCGATGCCTCTTAATCGTAAGCTAAATTGATTTTGCGCCAAAACAATTGTGTTTTTCCACTTGCGCTGTCAGAACCACTGTAAGGTAATTTTACGTAGTCCTGTGAAGTTTTGTTGAAATCGGTTGAAAAGGAAACTGATCTAATATATAAACACACACACACACACACACACACACACACACACACACACACACACACACACGCACACTCTGCGTTTTATAATAAGTATGACTCTATGAAAATTTCTCGGACACTCAGGCCGGTAAATGTTATTTAATACTGTTTATTATAAACAGAGAATTTACTTAAATACTTGTATCTATAAAAAAGAACGTTAAACATAAAAATGTCTTTAATAAATAATACTAAAGTATATATGTACTATATATTACTATATAAAATATATTGTAGAACAGGTATATTGACCTTGACTTGTATAAAAATACGTATGCTATTGGCACACAGAATGATTTTAAAACCTTAAATCGGCACATAGCAAAAGGTTGCTGACCCTTGTCTATTTCTTTATATATTAGTTTAAAAGGCAAGTACATTGAAATCAAAGGTTTTAGTTTACTTGTGACTTTGTGTTAGTACGATCACAATGAAAGTTACAACGCAAAAAAGATATTTAGCTGTTTCAAAACAAGCGTTAGACACCTATTAATAATAAAAACTTTAAAAAACTCTTTAGAAACTTTATTTCTTTTAATGTTTTTTTTACATATAATATTATATATATTACTATATAAAATATATTGTAGAACGGGTATATTGACCTTGTATAAAAATACGTATGCTTTTGGCACAGTGAATGATTTTAAAACCATAAGACGGCGCTTAGTTAGGAAAAGGTTGACATAGACTGATCTTGAGTTATGGAGGTGAACCCATATACTGTTGTATATACATGAGTAGAATTTGGCAATTCAAGACAATAAACTTACGTGTGTTTATTGGGGGTTTGGGAATGATATGAAAAGACGCAAACATATATGGGGATCAGATTAATTTGGTTTGGTTTATTTTCTTTTACGGCATATCAACCTCAATGGGTTATTTAATGCCAACAACATTTTTAGGATAGATTCATATGAATGGAATATGTATTCTTTGGTTTAGATTGGTTTGGTTTATTTTGTTTTACGGCATATCAACCTCATTGGGTTATTTAATACCGACAACATTTTTAGGATAGATTCGTATGAATAGAATATGTATTCTTTTGGTTTAGATTGGTTTGGTTATTTTGTTTTTACGGCATATCAACCTCAATGGGTTATTTAATGCTGACAAATATTTTTAGGATAGATTCGTAAGAATAGAATATGTATTTTTAGTTTAGATTGGTTTGTTTTATTTTCTTTTACGGCATATCAGCACCCTCAATGGGTTATTTAATGCCGACAACATTTTTAGGATAAATTCGTATGGATAGAATATGTATTCTTTGGTTTAGATTGGTTTGGTTTATTTTTCTTTTACGGCATATCAACCTCAATGGGTTATTTAATGCCGACAACATTTTTAGGATAGATTGTATGAATAGAATATG